TTAAAAGTAGTAAGAGTTGCAGTGGACTTGCAGGTTTCTGGGAGTTTGTTCCAGATATTTGGGGCATAATATAGACCCTCCAGAAAAACGCGATTCTGCTATCGCAGAATTTACCGCATAATCAGCAAAATGGCGCAGATTTTTAAAAGGCCGCATATTTATTAAAAGGCCGCATAATCCCCGCATTTTTCCACACAAAGTTGAGAAGAAAAAAAAGTTTGCTCGTCTTGACGTGACGTCATCAGCTCACGCATCACAGAATGTAAACAACAATGTATAGAGTGAACGTGTGGAGCTCACACGATAGAGAAAACACCAAGATGAAAAAATCTAATCCATCTCATTTACCGACGAACATTTCTACTAAAGACCGGGCAAAAAGTGGGGGGAAACTATTCTGCACCCCGTGCAACTGTGTGTTGGAGCATAAGAGAAAATCGATGGTGACGACCCACTTTGATTCATTCAAACATTCGAAAATACTTTCTGCTGCTGCGGACAAGAAAGCCAAACAGCTCACGTTCACCGAGGCATCAACCTCCAAAACCCTTTCGAGGGCTACAAGAAACTAAGTGAGTAGCATACAAGATTGAAGCTGGTCAGATAACGAACGAGTAAATGAAAACAGAATGAGGCGGAGAAGTGTGTGTGGGGGCGGGGGGTGTGTGAGATTAAAATAGCCCAATTGCTTTTACAATAAATAAATATTGAATGTGTTTAATTGAATAGTAAAGGGGTTTCTCGCACACAGGTTGTGTGTGAGAGAGAATAAATAAAATAAGACAGCCCAATATTTTTAAAAATTGTTATTCTTTTTCCCCGCATATTTCGCAACTTTCGCAACTTTCCGCATATTTCGCAACTTCCCGCAATTTCACTGCATAAAATCACATAAAAACCCTGCATGTTTAATCGCATAATCAAGCATTTTAGCCTGCATAATCAAGGAATTTAGCCCGCATAATCAAGGATTTCAGCCCGCATAATCAAGGAATTTTGCCCGCGTTTTTCTGGAGGGTCTAGTTTACTGTCATATTCGGTCGACCTCGTGTGTCCGAACGGTCTATATGACACTAAACAGTAACGCAAGGCCGGGGCCTAATGTGGCGGACCCTCCGCGCGAACGTGCAAACGGAGGGGTAGTGTGTAGGGGGTGGTTTGGGATTGGGCCTTAGTGTGTGTGTTTGAGGACACGTTTTCCCTCTCTCCCTGGTGGTGTTGGGGTGTTTGGCAGGATAAATATAGCTGCGTTGGTGTAAAGCTGTTCTCTCCTCAGCTTTTGTAGCTTTAATCAAAAGCAATCTAGAGGAGGGAGAAATGGAAGAGGGAAAGGGGGCTGAAAGAGGGAGAGCAGGATGAANNNNGGGGGGGGGGGGAGAGAGTGTGTTCGTGGAGGGTGGCTGATGCCTGAGTGTTTTATTTTAGCTCGCTTTAAATAGTCATTGGGGAGTGTTCAGGAGTAACGAGAACCCTGGTGGCTGGAGGAGAGGGACTGCATCCCCCCCCCATGATCCCCCCCGAAAATATGAGAAGTAGTGCTGCGTATCGGATGACCAGGTGCCAACAAGCCACATGTAGGACAAAGTGTATGTTTGTACGGTACAATACGGGAAATACTACTGCGGTGATAAGAGTTAGTTGAGATTTAAATACAAAAACCAGCCAACCCTGAAAAAAAAAAAACGCTTTACTATGCCTATATGTTAATTGATTGTCCAAACTATGCAAGTAAAATCATTAAATATATTCCGTTTGAATGGATTTGTTTTCCACAAACACAGCCGTATTCTTTGCAATTTCTGAGTCTGGAAAACCACATTTTTTTTTACAGGCTGCTGACCCGTATGATTGCTCAGTGTGTTAAATGCTGGTTATTTCAGAGGCTGTTGCTTTATCTTTTTTGTAATCGTCTTTTGGTTTCAGGAGGAATCTATCCGCATAGTTCAACATTTAACTTCATGAGCCAGGCGTTTCTTGTGAGTTTTGCATAGTGTCGCTTCAAATCATATTCACCTCCATGCGTGAAACCCTGCAAATGTCGCAACAATTCTGAGAATCGCCCTCCACCGGCTACACCCATAAGTACACTTCTTTGTTGAATGATTGATATCTGACACAGCTAATGGTGATGGCACTTTCTTTGATGTGGGATGTGGCAGTGCAGTCCTTCAAACTATTTCTCTTTAACTTGGAGACAAAAGTGCATGAATGGTGAATAATTCCAGATAAAATGCATTTAACTGTCTGCTCTGTTTCAACGTATCAGACAATGTGTTGATACACACTGATCTGAAAGCTTTGAAATGTGGACACTCAGCTGTAGTGAGTGAACACAGCCAATGTATAGTCGATGTGCATATGTGTGATAGGATAAATAGAAAGAAAGAAAATGACAGATATTATTTTGGCCGTGCAAATATCCTTTCATTATTCAGTTGGCTCTGTGCGCTTCATTTGGAGGCCAGAAGCAGCCCACAGTGAAAGCCAAGCTGCTCCCTGGTAACTGCCATGATGTTGATCTTAAAACGCTTCCACTAAAGCCTTTCCTGGACCACACATTGGCAGCAATGAGGCTCTTTAGGAAGTAAATTGTTCCATTTCCTGTTTCAAAGTCATTGCGATGAAGCCGGGCGCCTGATTAGTGGTTGGCAGAGTTTGTGCTGAGATGGTTTTTACTGGCTGTTACAAAGAATAGTTCCTTCCTGTTGGAATCATTATAGTGATATTAATGACAGCTGGTTTAATTAGCTTGGACAAATAACTCTAATTTGTAATAGAGTGGTGCAGGAATGAGTCCTAAAACCCAGAAATAAAATAGGATTTTACCACTTCCAGTTCCCTCGTTTCGAAGTCAACTTTTTTATGAATTCTTTGTTTTTGGTTGAAAGCCTGAAATAAGATAACGAAATGTTTAGAAACGTGTACGCATTGTTCTACGACAAAATATACGTCAATAAATACCCCACTGGGGAATGTCCAAAGATCCTATGTAACTTAAAAACAGCGGTTGCTAACAAGTGGCTAAATGAGGCTACATAACATCATCACTTAAAACATTAGCCGCATTTAGCTTAGCGGTGGTGACACACAGCCTTTCTGCTTCTGGTGAATATTTTTACCTTTAAAAAATCAATAAAAGTGATGTTAATCTGTGGAGATTTACCTGCCTTGTCGAGGGTGCCCTTGAGCCCTGGCGATACTCACTTCTGGGTCCATCTACAAAAATATATCATCACTGCTCCACTCTACTCTCTGTCATGTTATGTTAACATAAATGTGTCATTATCCTATAGGAAACATTATGTCCCAACATGTAGCTGTAAATGTAATCTCTACCCATGTTCCTTCTCAACCAGGTGATCTGGGTGTGTAATAACTGCCGGAAGCAGCAGGAGATCCTGACCAAGCCAGGCGAGTGGTTCACAGGTCCGGATGGGAACCCTGCTGGCCTCGGGTCAGCCGTCAGTGAGCCGTCTGTGTGCCAAAAGCTTCGGTCTCGCTCCCAAGCGCCCTCCACAATCCAAGACCCCAACCGACCCCACGCCCCTGGGACCGAACCTGGCATCGACCCCCGATCCCGCAGCGAACCACCGCGAGACACGTAAGCTGAAGCAAGACTGAGACAGAAACCTTATATCATCAATCAATACATCTTTATTTTGTCCCTTAAACACTTTAACAAAAGTATTCCAGATATCAATTTAATTAGAGACAAAAAACGCCAGAATGACCTTATATGAATTTTGGCCCCAAACCCTCTAACATCCTCTTCATGTGCCTGCTCAGTGCTATGTATAGGTCTAGCCCCAGAACACAATGGACCCTACAAATCCCATAATGCAACTGAATAACGTCATTCTAAATTCCCTCCCTGCCTAGTCTACCTTGTATCTTTCAAAACCTAGCTCAGAAAGAAGCAGTCTCCAAACCACAGTGACATCAATATGACAGCAATGAGGTTATTAGACTTTCTCACAGAATACATGATTATACAAGGCAGAATAGGACCAACCATGACAAAGTGACTGTGATATGTGAAATTGGTGGAGTGCCCCTTTAAATTGCAACCTCTCAGCCATCAGAAAGAACTGTATCCTTGATGAACATGTAAACATTTGTATTTCAAACATTATCTCCTGCATTCTTCATCTGCTTCTTTTATGCAGTAGTGCATTCTATGTCTTAAGCAAGCAGTCTCCGAGTGTAATGGAAGAATGCAGCCGGTTCCAAAACACTGGATGGGGATGTGTTGTCACTCGTGACTCTCTATTAGTGGAAATATACAATCACAACATTGGTGTTTGCAAAGTATGAGTAAAATATGTTTTTGATGAAAGTAGAAGCTAAAGGCAGTAACAGGGGTCTCTCACATAATGTCCTTAAGTAGATCTCATGTATTTTGCTGATACTAAATGCATAATAATGATGATTTGCATCATTCTCATGGCTATCGACATGATTCACACTGCGGTAACTTGTTATATAGGAGGAACCAGAGTCTCATGTCTCTCCTCCCAAGTCCCAAGTCAAGACATGCTATTCCCAAGTCCAGACCCAGGCATTAAACGCAGATTTTTTGAGTTCTTTAAGTCAAATTTGACCTGAGTTTTTCAACTGAAGAATGCTCTTGTAGATAACATTAGTGCATGGTTCCCTCCTGCAACTTGACTGGATTGATCAAACAAAATGGATCTTGGGAATGAAATGTCAACTTTTCAATATCAATGTTAGTTTGTTTGAGTAATGAAGGGAGATTTGTTGATTTTAGGCATTATTTAACTTAAACTTAAGTTAAACACCTTTTTGCTCTGGCCTCAAGTATTTTACAGTCAAAAGCCTCAGGTCCAAGTGATTCATAGGTTAAGTCCAAGTTATGTTGCAAGTAGTGGTGGAAGAAGTATTCAGATCCTTTACATAAGTGAAAGTACTAATACTGGATTGTTAAAATATTCCATTACAATTAAAAGTCCTGCACTGAGAATTGTACTTAAGTAAACGTTTTTAAATATGAATAGGGACATGTAGTTCAAGTATTGGGAGTAAAAGTACTCCAGAAAACATTTAGCAGAAAAAAACAAACCAAAATATTAAAAATGTATTAAAATATTGAAAGACAAAAGCAGCAAATATTAACATTGGAGAAGCTGAAACCATGAAATGTTTTGCACAAAAAAATAAATAAACACTTTACTGAAACCACCTTTTGTTTTAGGTACTTAAATATAACGTATAGTTTAATCTGCATCAAAACATCGTATTTTAAAAGTTCTTCATGTTTTCTGTAGTTTAAAAATCACTAAAGTCACTACATCTGAATAAAAAATGTAGAAGTACAAGGGCCATAAAAAACACTCTAACCTTCTTTGTAAGCTAGTCTTACACATCTACTATCCAAGCATGTAAATAAAGTATTCAATGATGTCCCTGAAAAGATACTGTGTCTGTCTACAGTTCCCATTTATTATTTTCTCTTCCTCTCCATTTATATATCGATTGATCTCCAGGAGAAATGGCCGAGGAGGCGGAGCTAGTCGGGGGGAGCGGCGGGCGGTCCAGCCCAGGCTGCAGACCCAGGTCTCCATGGACCGGGACCTCCGGGGGGAGTCCAGAGAGCGCAGGGAGAGCCGGCGGCTGACCAAGGGACGATCTCTGGAGCACGATCCTGTGGGAGAAGGTTTAAGACGGACAGAAGAGGGGGGCTACCACCACATGGACCACAGCGGTGCCCCCCCTCGCAAAGCAGGGCCGGTCCCTCCTGGAGGCCGGGGCTACCCTGTACCCATGCAGGGCCGTGGCATGGGCGTAGCAGGGGGGGAGGTTGGGGACGGTGTACGGCCCGGTAAGAGGACAGCGGGTGGGGTTGGAGGGCCACATGAACACACCCTTGCTCAGCAGCCCCCTCCCCCTGAACTCAGAGAGCCTCCTGGTTTGGGCCCTGGCTCGACCCCCGGCCAGGGGCCCGTAGGGAGACGGACCAAACGGGAGAAGGCTGAGAGCATGCTGCGCAATGATTCGCTGAGCTCTGACCAATCGGAATCACTGCGTCCGCCCCCTCCAAGACCCTACAAGTCGAAACGAGGGCTTGGGGCGGGGGGGAAGAGGCAGACCAGCGTCAGCAGCTCAGAGGAGGAGGGGGGGACCACGCCGGAGTACAGCAGCTGTGAGGACGCAGAGATTGAAAGTGTCAGCGAGAGAGGTGAGAGACCAAACCATCATCACCTTGTGTTGATTTCATCCAGGGGGGGGTTTGAAAATATTGACTTCTGTCAGTTTAATTATTTGTTTATCTATCAAAAAACATGAAATATCTGAGGCAATTTGACTGTTATAAAATGTTGGAGAGTAATCACACCACTTCTTTATGGATGTTTCCTTCCTATTCAACGCTTACTGAGGTACTGTTGATGTGAACTAGAGGTCCACATTAAAATCTTATATTGATACCTTTCAAATCACATGTGCCGTCATAATCTAAAAACTTTCTATAGAATCATCATACCTTACACACTGCCTTTTGAGCCGTCTGCTTCGTAGGGAATCTGGCTTTCATCAGCCTAAATTAATGTCCAGCAGTATTACACTATCCAGCGTCCTGACAGGAAATTGTAGAATTGGTGCAGCAGAAGACATCATCACACTCAGACTTTCTTTTTTTAGATTTAAACTTTTAAAAATGTTGTCTATAGCACAACCATGCTTACCGACTTTCTGAGCATATAATGTTGTTTCTTTTCCAGTGTAAAAACACGGCTGTTTACAATTAGAATGTAATGTGGAGTTTTTGCACAGCTTATAGTCTATGAAAGGAAAATTGTCATTCATATAGACGAGACAAGCTGTGGGTTTATCTGTTTGGGCCATGTGGAAGCATTCTGGATGAACTTCACAGGATTTTCACCTAACCTGATTAGCTCCTAAATGCACACTGCAAAATAAGATACTGTTAGCAATTGCTAAGCTACTTACTGGAGAGACATTTTACTTTAACTGCGTGCTGATCAGTTTCAATAGAGTGTGCTAACTGTCCGAACTGAAAGTTAGCATCACAATGGCTCCCTCGATTAAAAACAAATGGTATTTTTCTAGTGGATTCTGTGGCAAACACACAATACTTACATGTTTTGTTCAGCAGGATAATCTCCACATATTAACACCACTTGCATAATCCTTTAAGGGTAAATTCAATAGCCAGAAGTACATTTCTAACTTGTATGAATGTTATAAACAAACTACATGATGGTCGCATTACTTCACGACAACAGCGCTAAGCTAAAGACGGCTAATGTTCGGCTTGGTGGCGTTTAGTAGTCTCATTTAGCCACTTGTGAGCAACGGTTGTCTCTAAGATAAATAATAGCTTCACCAGTGGGATATATACGATATGTAGCCTACTGACGTATTTCATGTCTCATAAAAACATGAAAATATCTTCAATTTGTCAAAAAACAATGATTTTGAGACGAGCTAACCATAAACGCTACGATGCTAACTCATTCCCGGGTTAAGGACTCTTCTTCTATCCTGCAACACTCCATACACAGCCAAGCTAGAGAAGAACACAAGGGAGCTCAGCTGGCTTCAGTTTCTACAAACTGACAGCCAGTAGGGCCTGGCTCATTTCGTGGCATCTGCAGGCAGTGGCAAGTATTTCCGGCATCTGCCACAGAGGCCACTACTCCTTGGCATCTGTGGCAAGTAATTCCGGCAGATGCCACAAATGCCACAACTTGCCGAGGCATCTGCCGCTGCTCAACGGGAGTTGCCACAAGATGCCAGAGTAAGGGAAGGTTTACTGTAGCTGCCACTCGCCTTCCGTGGCAAATGCTGCTATTTAAACCCGTATTTATCGTGTAAAATGTCGCTGTTTAGGCATGACTTTATCGGACTGATCTGTACACAGGACTGATGTGCGATCTCTATTTTTCAAAAAAGATTATACATTATCATGATATGATATATTTGATCATCAGGCTCGATGCTTGGCATTAGCTAATCAAATCCCGTTTATGCAATTCCCGCCAGTACAAGCGCTAGCCAATCAAACCGCGTGTATGCTGATACCGCAGGTCTTGACTATTTTCCATATGTCATAAAATGGAGGATAAATTAATCATTGCCGTGGCAAGTGTCCCAGTCCTGTATGAATGTACTCTGTTCACCTACCGGGACCTAAACCGGAGGAACCAGGCATGGCGGGAGGTGGCAGAGACAGTTGGTGAAACTGGTAGGTTTTCAACTGTTTGGGGAGTTTATATCCAGTTTACTTCGTTTTAACATTGAATGGACAGCTAGTAATGTAACATAACATATAATACATATTAATAAAAAAAAAATAATAATATATAATATAATAAGTATAAGCATAATATATAACATAACATATAATACATGCACAGCTATCAAGCATAGACAGTATATTTAGCCAGCATGGAATGTAGCATAAAAATAGCAGTCATTAATGGAGGAATAATTTAGTAAATTCAAGAAATTAACTTTATTATTTATTAACTTTATTATTTCATTTCATTTTATGTGTGCAAAAAGAGATGGAAGAATCTGAGGGACAGGTTCCGCAAGGAGAAGAATATGGAGAAGGAGGCAAAAAGAAGCGGGGCAGGGTCTGCAGGGGGGGTACAAGCCCTGGCGTTTCATGGCAGTCATGGGGTTTTTAACCCCATTCATCATAGACCGTGAGACGTCCAGCAATGTCCCCCGGCAGACCCTGCCTCCATCCAC